GCAGCCGCAGCACAACCCGCCCCACCTCCGCGGGCACCTCGACAAGGCTCTCCCGGACCGCCCCCAGCGCCTCCGCCAAGCTGCGGTTGAGCTGCTTTCGGTAGACCGTCCCCACAGGGGTGGTGTACCACCCCCGGTGATCCCTTAGGCCGTGCTCCGCAAGAAATTTCGAGGCCGCCCCATTCCCCCCCCACGCCATCCGCAGCGCCTCGTCCGGCCGCCAGCTGTCGAGTTCGCTGGAGCGGACAAAGGAAATGTGAACGCCCAGCCCGCGATGCCGGCCGCAGCAGTCCATACACAGAAATACCCCATAGCTCAAGCTACACCAACTCGGGTTTTTGTTGGGGCAATCAAAGCAAACCCTGTTGGCGGAAATTTGCCGTAGGGCGATGACGAGGCTCTTGGCTTCCTCGGCCGTCGAGATCATCGGGATCGTAGCCACACACGGGATGGACATCGCGCCAAACGTGATAAGAGAAAAAGAAGTATTGAACCGACCCAAGCGTCAATAATACAACCCCAAGTTTAAGATCGAATTTCACTCCACAATCACCTATAACTTACTTTATAACCTAATAAAGCTCTATAGAGAAAATACTGATAGCAAGGTTGAAAGTAACCAGATGATCTGGTAAGTGTAAAGTACCATTAGGGAACATGCTGAACTCAGTATGGGTTGTAAAACAGTAAAATATTAATCGACATCAATACAAACATTTTAAGTTTGTGGAATATACACAAATAGGCAAGAAAAGGCACGTGATCATGCACTTTTCCGCAGCGATCCACAATGTAGCTGCACGGAATTGTGGATGCAGATGTACCAAAAATTGCCGACGCGCTTAAGTATTTTGCCCAGTGTGAATATATAACTAGCAAAGTTATTGTGAAGGTCCACTCTCTTTTGTATCGTTGATTCAAACAGCGATGGAGTATTGTACGGTTGAAATTAGAATGATGCAGTACATAAATCGTGTGAAAAAAGATAATAGTAATAATAATCTCTTCAACCATCTCTAGATCTGTGATCGCAGCAGGTATATTTTTTATGGTTCCTCCAATTAAAAATACGTGCTAGCCATATTTAAACTGCAGTAGCCATACGCATAAGCAAATGTAGCTCACTGATGTACACAATTGATTTATCACAGAAAAACCTCTACAATATGTAAAGGTTATTAAAGTCTATTGCGTTAAAAATTATTAATCTTTTTTCAAATGTGCGTGTCTTTTGTTGATATGGCACTTCAAGCCCATGTAAAACGGCAAAAAGCATGGACAACCTTAATCTTAATTTCCTTTACTCTTTGCCCCTCCTCTCCCCTCTCTCTTTCACTCATGTTATAATTTGCATTAAGAAAATATTACATGAGTTATTTTTTATTATAAAAATGTGATCCACTTAAAAAAAAATCCTTGAAGATGGCTATAATTCCAAAATAAATAAAGTAAAAAAGATTGATTCAAATCAAAGGAAGTGTACAAATTTTGATAGGAATCTGAAAAAACTTACACATATACCATAAATATTTTTAAAAAAAGCTAAAGAAAAGGGAATATGTACAAGTAAAAATATCGCACTTTTTTGAGGGGGAATAAAAAAGGGATCATCATGCGTTAATGATTTTCACAAACAATTGTAGCATAAAACAATGGAAAAAGGTGCAAAGCCATATTCCAGAATGCACCAAAAAAGATAAAACTCATAATAATAACAATAATAATAAGGATAACAATGAGGGAATATAAACTATTGCTATGAAAAGCAGTCCTACACACTTGAAAGAGGAATTAGTTATCTAAATAATTTTGGTCAATAGATATTCTATTAGTGTTGGTTATTATGAAATGTACCTACAACATTTAATGCCTCAGCCTATTGTCAGTTTCACGTCGCAACATAAGCTACTAACATAAGAAGGAAAATCAAGTAGCGGCACTACTATATTTCCTCGAAAGCATTTAGCTAATAGTATACAGAATGGCAAATCACCATTAGTGAGATTGCAGTATTTTTTTGGTTTCATGATAGAAATTCGACTGCATATCTCAAAGACTCTCCAATAAATTGACCCTTCCCCGCCCATCGTATGATATTGTTTCACACTCTTTTTGATGAAAAGAATCGCTTTCCATGGTTAAGTTATTTCCTTTCATTTATGTTTCTTTCCATTCGCATCATTATCCACACTCTTACTGCTCATTACCACTCTGAGTAGAATCTAAAATTTAAAATCATACTACAGGTTTTGTGGTGTCGCTCTGCCACTTTTCCAGCCTATGATTGCCTCTAAGGTATTCCAGCAGCCTCATCTTAGACTCTTGCAGTTCCATCAATTGCGAAAAAATCCGTTTAGCAATGCAATGCGCCCAAACAAGTAACGCGTACTTCCTGTCGTGTTCGATCTGTTTAGAATCCTCGGCAGGTGCTATCGGAGACTTAGTCTTATCTAACTCTAACGAAATCGCCGCAAAACGATCGGAAAGGTAGGAAAGGGTATTCTTCAGGAGTACATGATATTTTTTCCTAAATTTAGATACTAGTGTGGCCCGCTCGGAATCTGCCTCATCCATAATTTGTCTTGCGCGCTCAGAATACTTCAACGACATTATTTCCGTTAAATGCGATTTAGAGGAATTGTTTTCGCGCTGAATGGACTCGTAGATCTCGGTGAATGTAGCCTTAAATTCCTCCACTAAGTTATCACGATCTTCTGCAATGGCCTTTGACGTCTGAGAAGCCTTTTCTCGCTTTTCAGACTCTTGATTCTCTAGCAAAGCCTTACGCTCCTTATTCGCCACAGAAATCACGCCCATCCCCTCGAGGGCCGCATATCGAAGGTCCTTACCGTTGGACTTTGCCTTGCCGTTGGAGGTCCCGACAGAGGCGTCGTAGAAGAACCCGCAGTTCTGTGCACACCGTCGTCGAATAAGCGGCACCCTCGCGAACTGATCAAGGGCGAAGATGTGCAAATCGGCGCAGAGGGCGCTATGCTGCTTTTTCTGCTCAATATAATCAAACTGCAGCTTATCCACCTCGGCCCCGGAGGTGGTGACCACTTTGAGAGCCTTAACCTTATTCGCAAAGCGCAGCGTGCTGACGGTCTCCTCGAAAGTGAGTTGGGTCGGGGAGCACTGGGCCAACAGCAGCACCCGCGACGCGGGCTGCGCGAAACTCGGCTTTAACAGAATTGTCAAATTGGAGTCCCGGTAGTTCGCGTAGCTCCCTTCAAAGAGGCTGTGCACGACATTTCCCAGAGCCGTCAAGCTCGTGTTGATGCTGGTGGCCTCCTTTTGCCCTTGGCCGGTCACCTTGCTCTTGTCCAGCCGCTCACTCCCGGCGAGGTCGGCGAGGACGATACGGCTGCAATAGAGCGGCTCTTTCTTCCCAGGAACGCGAAGGACCGTCCCTTTAAAGGGCATCTCCCACTTGGCGAGGGAGGAGTTCGCGTCGTTGACGGGGCTTCGAAAGCCGCCGTGTTCGGATGAGGGGCTTCCACTCGAGTGGGCCCCCCGCCGCGGCCCACCGTGGTCCTCGTTATTCGGGCTTAACAACCGATCAAGCAAATCGAGCGTCGGCGGGGGGGCCGAACTCGCCTGTTGGATGATATCGATCGAAAAGATGCAGTGGCTTCGACTGGAGGCCGAATTCGACTCGGTCACGCGGGTTTGACGGCGGGAAATAGCGAGCTGAATTTCATTAAAGACGGCCTGCAGCGACGTCATCTCCTTCACGGTGAGGTTGGGCAAGAAGACGTTCCCGTTGATGATCTTGGCCTTCAGCTCGGGCGCCTCCTGCTCCGCCTTGCCTCCGAACAAATCGCGGATGTTATTGCAGTAGACCTCAATGCAGCTGAGCCCCACCACGACGTGCCAGCCTTTCTTCGCCTGGCGGATTTTGAACTCAAAAAGGTCACTCAGGACGCGGAGAAAAAGGCCGCTATCCTTCGTGAGGAGGTCATTTTCTAAAGGATTCGGCTTGACATCCCCCAGGACGGTAAAGGTTTTGCCGGCGCCGGTCTGGCCGTATGCGAGGACGGTCGCATTGAAACCCACTAGCGCGCCGTCGACCATCTCCACCACCGCATCCTCATAAACCTCTAATTGTGTACTTTCTTGGTCAAAGATGTAGTCAAAGGTGAAGATGCTACTTTTGGTAATATCGCCAAGACGGCTGAGTTCAACTTTGAGGGTGGTATCGCCGGTTTGGTGAACCGCCTGAAGCTCGAACTTCTCCAGCACCTGCTGGCTAGAGCCCTTGGAGAGGGTGGGCCGAACGCGAACGGCGACCATAACATGTTGATTTACTCCTAGAGACATTCGTAATACTTAAAAAGTAACAATAAACATACACAGATAAAATAAAGGAGAAAAAAAAAGAAAATTTCAAGACAATACTAACTGCCTTTAGTACAGTTTGTACTTATTGGAAAGTAAATAATACGAACAATGGAGAGGAACTTTATTGTAAGTGATGATGACCTTTGAAGTCCTACTTTGATTTTCTAAGACAAAAAAGGTACTTTAATGTGTTAGTTCCTACAAATTTTATAGCTTTATCAATATAAGTAGTAATAATAATATTAAGAATGGATACAGCTCTAATTTCAAAGTCATGTAATAAAAAGAACAAAATGGAAAAAGGGAGAAAACCTAAACTGACGTATCAAGTTCATTATTTAGACTAAAATATGTTTAGTCAATAAATCAAGAGCAAAATAAGAGATCTACGAGACGGAAAATGGATCACACTAAACATTTTATTGCAAAAAAAATCCAAACTAGTGTATGCACAAAATGAGTGAAATTGACAGTTGAAAATAACATTTTTTTTTCTGTTCATGATAGGTAACGAGTATATGCAATGTCTTGTAAATGAATACTATAAAGCAGAATGAATAGTTTTTAAGAGAACAGTTGCATTTAAACTTATGAACGACTAAAATTTACAAAATTGCATAACAGGTACTTGTGAATTAATTTTACTGATCTGTTTTGACAAAACAGGCATCATGATTTACAACTTCACCAAATAATCCCTTTGAATAATAATATAATATTTACTTTTGATAAAGTCAAATGGTTTCGTAACTAAAACAGCTCTAAACAATAAGGTTCGGATGCATAAATAATATCGACGTACTAATATATTAGGTTGATAAGTATTCTATCAATGATATTATGAATTTACTCTCAAGTCTTTAAAACGTGACTCTAGTTAGATAAAAGATAACAAAAACTTGTCCTTGAATTTGTTGTTTTCTGTTTAGCCATAGCACCTCATCGGTAACCGAAAAGACTTATTCCTGAGAGAAAATAATGATATCAAATCCACGTGCTCAACTAAGTAATAGAGAGAAATGGCATGCCCTTAATTTGCTTACTAAGCTTATTTTCATTCTACCTTTTAGTAATATATTTTATTCTGCCCTTCAAAAACTTTTGTTAAATCTAAAAAAATAATACATTTAGACAACGCTAAGAAAAAGAAATGCTGAATAGCTATAAAAGAAAGCTTCAATTAGTATCATATATTTCACAGCATAGATTCATACATTAGATTTGAGGTGTAAGGTCTATAGAACGTAACAGAATCCATTTTACTTTACCTTAAAACAAAAATTTAACACAAAGATATATTGATAATATGCATATGCATATTACCGATGTATCTTGCACCAATAGAAATGGTGGTGCCTCGCCATATTGTGTGTAACTTTATCACACAGGTTTTTTAAATATATATTTATATATCTATTGCATACATGTATGAAGAATATTGCCAGGCTTGAGAAAAAGACTGCCTTTAATATAACCTAAAATCTATTCCTATAGATCTACCACATTACATTTCCTCACATTTTTAACTACAACACTAATAATCACGATATCTTTTTTTTTTACAGTAATCTTATTTTACACTTAACGCATACGAATTTTGGCTGGCTAAGGGTTTCCTCTTTCTCTTTGTGGGTTTCCTCTTTTCTTGTGGAAAGCGGAACGACGCCGTGTTGGCCACTCCGACACCATGCGCAAATGACGCAAAGGACATGCGCAGGTTTTCTTCGTTGATCTCGACGATGGAGCGTCCATCATGTTCGGTATGTGTAAAGGTGCGATATTCCTGGATAATCTCGTTTCTGTCGCCCTCGTCAAAGAACATAACAGGCCTCTTGATGGGGAAAAAGATATTCTTGATGATTTTGTACAACTCGCAGAGAAACAAAAAAGAAATTAGCGCGATCGCGAGGACGGCCCAGTGCCATGTAATCATATGATGCACGAAGATATTGTGCGCGATGACATCCACGTAGACAATCGGGACAAACAGCAGCGTTCCCAACACCACCGAGCCGAAAATCCACATATTATCAAGCCACTTCATGCGAAAGACCGAAAGCCGCGGATGGCGTGCGGTGTAGGCGTGAATAAAGAGACCAAAGTAGAGAATCCCGAAGGCAGTACAGCGGGCTTGCCAGATCGGCAGACATTCCACCGTTCCCGTTGTTTTATTGCAGTCATGCCCGGCCGGGCCATCGCCGAAGCTGTAGAGAATAACCACAAACCCCAGCAGCGAGGCCAACCCCAGCCAAAGCCCATAAATACACGTATCGCAGATCAATTCGAGGCTAAAAATGCCGCCGGTGCGTGGAGGAACGAGAAGAATATCCTCCGTGGGGTTGTCCATCGAAAGCCCGATTGCCGGGGGCGCTGAGGTCAGCATATTCAACCACAAAATTTCGAGCGGGGAGAGAATAAAGAGGGTGGTCCCCTCATGGGTAAAGGCGAGGCCGCAGATTAACACAATCACCTCCGCGACATTACTGGAGAGGAGGTGGACGAGGAATTTGCAAATGCACTGCACAATCCGCCGCCCTTCCGCCACCGCCTTCACGATCGTGGCGAAGTTGTCGTCCATGATGATGAGATCGGCGACGCCTTTCGTGACGTCGACGCCGGAGCCCATCGCGCAGCCGACGTTGGCGATTTTAATGCTTGGGGAGTCGTTAAAACCGTCTCCGGTCATCGCCACGACGCGTTTTCGGCGGTGAAGGGACTCGATGATCTT